ATCTTAACATAGTAACATTTAAATGTACCAGAATCGTTGTTGTATTCATATATATTAGAGCAAATATCATATGCGAGTATACGAGTCTTTGTTTTTACTGGGATCATGTGATAGATACTGTAGAAGAGACTGCTATGAGTGGAAAGCTCTGAGGTCATGACCCCGTGACGTAACTCGGTCTAACAGCTGACATTACGCAACAGCCCGGCTGACAGAAGTTTATCGTCACCCGGAGTAAAGCGTAGTACAGGGTATCTTCAGTGATCCGTAGACCTGCATAGCGTAGTACGGGAATGTAACTATGTGCTTTTACATAAGCACAGCATTGTACTCAGATTGTGTAAATATTACTTTTTTTTTTAACGACACCACATTTTTTCATAATAACATAATAACAGTAAAACACTAGTAATGAGACATTAAAGCCTCAGTTTTAGTAGTAAAACTGACAGATAACACTCACAGGGTGAGTTTATGTTTATATTTGGTCATGTTATGCTTCAGGTAATGTTTTTTTTTATGTGGGTTTACATGTCATTAGTGTTTTTTCCCCTGTGGCAGTGCAACCTTTACTTAAGAAGCTATCGCCTACTCTCCATCATAAAAACGGCAAATGTCCAGGAGAAGCGTGTGTTTCTGTTTGTAATAAAAGTACTAAAAATAATGAGAAGCTGCTGCTTTCGGCTGCTCTATTACTCATGAGGGGTTGCCACAGTGGGCAGCTCTGCATGTTTGATTTGGCAGAGATTTTACTGTGGATGTCCTTTGTGTTTCCTCCCAGGACTAAATCTTTCTTAGGCAAATGTGTAAACCGCTACTCAAGTGGTTACTGGAGCCACTATGAAATAATATTGAGAAATAGTAATACAGTCCACCAGCAAAATTCATCTATTTTTATGACTGAGGAATTGAGTAAAGGACTCGTGTTACTTCAAGGAGCTGTGGCATATCTTAAGCCACGCAGACAATGAGTAAAAGGTTGTGATCCCTGTTAAAGCTGTAATGGGACAGCTGTAACGTGAGGCCTACTGAATGAAGGATTAACTATGGGCTACCTGCTGAGAAGGGCCTTTCAGACCGGACTGGAGAAAACAGCATTAAAACTAATTTCTGTGGGTAAGAGGTCGGGTCCAAGTCTCTGTGAATCACTGAAAGCAAGATTAGTCCAGCTGAGTAAATCATGTAATCTGTTAGCCTCTTTTTAGCAGCACTGTGTCCTCCACTCAGGATCAATTTGGGTTAAGCGTCCAAGTCGTAGTCATTGTGTCTCGTCAAGATTAATTTGATTAATTCTGCTTGTCATCTTGGAAGTAAGTGATTAAGTTTGAGGACATATCACTGGATCAAAGAGTGGAAAACACTAAAGGCACATTGCCAGTGACAGAATTAAACTTCTGATGAACTTTAAGAGCTGCACAGTGAGTCAAAGACCTTAATATTCTCATTCACTCATGGTAAGAGTAATTAAAGCAGTGACTTAAGACTCATGGAGGATTTCTGGGGCGCTAACAGTCCGCAGCGGCGAGAGATTTTGAATACGCTGCACTGATCCAGAACCTGGGTTACAAAGATTTTTTTACTAGTAACATTTGTCAAATTTCCTCTAAAATGAAACTTTAAAAAAAATCCATAAATGCAGAGATGATGTTCAGAGGGGGCAGCAGTTCTATCATGTCTGAATAAAGAGAGCAGATTAAAGTTGCCAAGTGTCCCCATGGTCTCATGCCCAGCATGTGCCAGGATGCCACTGTTAGATCAAACTGTTTAAATATACACTTCTCTTGACTTTCAAACATTAAGCTAGGTTTGAATTTAATTAAACAGACAGAACTGAACCAAAGTTGAGTTGAACCAAAGAGCACAAAATCTGCAGCTGACTTTTATAGAACGGCCTGCCCACCCTCGATTAGCTGGACCAGTAAGAACACTATGTCCTGTCCTACACAAGCGACAATCATGTGCCTCTTTATGCATGCCAGGATCATGTATCAGCAGGAATTTATGACACCCCCTTTAAATACACGTGGACACAAGCAGTGCACCCCACTAGAAACCCTCTACATTGTCCTTTATGTGTTTTAATAACCAGCCAGAATGCAGAAATCTCCTCCAGTACACTTTCATTTCATCCTGAGATCCCTTCAGCGTGACAGTAAATAACTTGTGTGTCAAACTGGTAACTGAACAAATGGCTCAAGGTCGTAGTCGTCAGTCACACCAGTTGGGAGTCAGAAGAGGCTTGGCAGGAGATAAAAGTATATTTAGAAGGTTGGAATAATCCACCTTACAACAGGTAATCCTCGAGGAAGTCACCTGTGCAAATGTTCTTCGAAACTATTTTATCATTCTGCAAATGCACAGGAGACTGCTAAAGCTAATGACTTTCTGTGGATCATTTCGCTGCGAGCGCGTCTCAGTTAAAATATCGTCAGCGGGTCAACGTTCACAGCTGATTTTGGCACCCCCCCAACTGCAACCTGCGAGTCTAAGATTACATTTCTCACAGGAGGCAGCCAAATATCTTCCTCACGCCTCAGGAGGCGTGACTGAGGAGACGCGCAGCCGGGGATCTCGGTCACACTCTATCGCGTACACTTTATACATGGCATTACACCTCAAAACCAGGCCGGAGAGTCACTCTGTAGGTTGCCTTTATTTCTCGCTTACTGGCAAGGTTCCTGTGTTCAGGGAATGACATTCTGGTAAGGGGCGAAACAAAAAAAGAAAATGAATGGGCCAAGAGAAGAGTGCATAACATATTCCCCCAGTACAACTAGTAGAAAATACTAGTTGGTCCCTATAAATATAGCTCGGCATTTAAGTCCTTCCAAATGTACAAGATATGTTACAGTTAAACTTCACAACATGAGCAGTGAACATACAAAAACATCTTAGATGACTTTCTTAAGCTCGTCATACAAGACGAGCACAAAGGCGCCACCCATGCCTCTCAGCACGTTAGACCAGGCTCCCTTGAAGAAGGCCTTGCTGCCCTCATCGCGTGCAATCTTCTTCCAGCAATCAATGGTGCCCGTGTACATGATGTCAGCTGAAGAGACAGAATCACACAGATGTTACAACCTCATTTAAATAGAACAGTGGGGAAAAAAAATAAAGAGGAAGTTATACTTTGATTTTGTTGGGGTTTTATTACCTCCTTTGCGTCCAGACTGCATCATCATACGACGACGGACAGTATCGAAGGGGTAGGACGTAAGACCAGCTACGGCAGTCACACTCTGAGCAATCATCCAGCTCACTATAATGTGCGTATTCTTAGGGTCAGGAAGCATGCCTGTAAGAGAAACATTAGCCGGTGAGATTAAAAGGCTAAAAACTGCTATGTAAAAAGACATAAAGCAGCAAACACTCACCCTTTGCTGTGTCATAGATGCCAAAGTAAGCAGCTCTATAGATGATAATGCCCTGTACTGAAACGTTGAAGCCCTGGTACAGACCCCTAAGGCCATCGGACCTGAAGATCTTCACCAAGCAGTCTCCCAGACCTTTGAACTCACGCTCGTGGCCCCCTTTGCCGACATCGGCGGCGAGACGCGTTCTGGCGAAGTCGAGTGGGTAGACGAAACAGAGGGAGGTAGCTCCGGCGGCGCCGCCAGATGCCAGGTTACCCGCAAAGTATCTCCAGAACTGTTTCCGCTTGTCCACGCCGTCGAGGAAAATCTTCTTGTACTTGTCCTTGAAAGCAAAGTTTAGGGCCTGAGTGGGGAAGTATCGGATGACATTGGCCAGATTTCCCCTCCAGAAAGAGAGGAAGCCCTGCTCTTTGGGGATACGAACGACACAGTCGATGATGCCCTTGTACTGCTTGTCGACCGCGATCTGTTTGCTGGCATGTTGCACCTGTAAACAAAGCAGAGACACCGCAGTGCATTAGAGGCAGTAACGAGTGAAGCTCGTCATATCAAGTTTCCTCTTCAAGCTTTCACCTGGTCACCTTCTGAGTTGTCTAAGCTGGGAGATTCCCGTTATTCTACTGAGTCACACACATTTGCTTTCATGTGCAGGTGGACGGCCCTTTCATTCAACAGTTCACAGCCCCGCCCCCTGCCACTGCTGCTGCTGAGGCCGGGCCCAATGCAGCAGTGTAGCGCCATGGCGCAAACCTTGCTGTGACCTTGGCTGTTTGATGTCAAGACAAACTAATGACCTGTCTTGACACGAGAATAACTTTATTTAAACACCACAGTGGCAACAGACGGTCACATTCTCCTGTCACAATGCCGCTTTTCATGCGAGCATTCAGGCCGGTCTATTACATAACAAGTGCTTGCTCGCTCCTCATCTGTGCCTGCACCAATCTCTGACAGAGCCGCTTCGATTTACTATTTTTAGCCCAGTTTCTACTCCTGACCATGCAGCAGATTTCCATTTCTATTAGATTACTATTAGATTTTAAACCATTTGCCACATGCATAAGCATCTTAATAATTTCCCCTCCAAACATAAGAAATAAGAAGGAAAGCTGCAAAGGAGCAACAGCAGTATTCAACACACGTATGTGACTGATATCAATAATTACAGTGTCATTAGGTTTTCAGGTGTTTGCACAGGGATGTAAGCGATTCACACTCACCTGGAGCAGAAGCTTCACTCTCTCGATGGGAGCTACAGCTGTTTTAGAGATGGCAGCGGCGATGCCACCGGCCAAGAAGTCCTTGGCAAAGGAAATAGCTTGTTCACTCATCTTCAGTTGCTATCAGCCGCCGTCCAGCTACTCTGTTGGTGGGGTTGAAATGGCCGAATCCTATCTAGAAGTGAGGGGATTTAAGGAGGCTGTACGCGAGAAAAAACGTGAACTTCGATTCTTTTCTGCGATTGGCCGGCTCTGGGAGTAGTGGGTGGGGCCAGGCGATGACCTTCGATTCAGATTTGGAGCTTTCCCTTGTCACTCAGATAAATGGAGGCACGAGATCAGTCCCGCATGAGAGAAAGTTTATGAATTACTTTTGCGACTTTTTAAAACTTGCAAAGTCGCATCTGATTAGAAGCGAGAGGCTCCGTCACGGCGTTATATTCTCACCATTCTTATTCAGATTAACCTGAAGGTCGTGTCAAATGTCATTCTGGGGCAGATGAGGCCTCACAGTTATGGTAAAGGTCATCCCAGCTGTTAATGTCCTTTTGGCTGCCACTGAGTTGCCCACGTGAGCTGACGTGATACAGTCACCTGACTGATTTCACTCTCAACCTGAGCACACAGACCTTTAAACCAAATAACAAATTGGCCTAAAGCAAATTACCACTACAAGCAAGAGAGGAGGTTGAAGTGAAAATGCAGAAACAAAGCAGTAAACGTATTCAGCTATAAAAAAAATTCTTGTTATTATCCTTTCATATAATAATGCGTCACATATTACAGGATCTGAAAAGTAGCTTGTTGGAGTAAACAAAACGATAGAGGTCAATGTCAAGTTTAAACTAGCAGAAAATGGAAATACTCCTGTAAAGTACAAGCACCTTAAATAAGGTGCGTAGTAACTTGAAACAATTGAAAACGGGTTAGACTGCTGACAGACAACTTAAGGGCAAAGTCACCGTAGAGGAATGTGGGTTTCAGCAAACAGGAGGTTAAATCAATGTTTTTACCTTCAGAATGAAAAACAAATCATTTAAACCTCACAAACACTTTTCTTTCTTTCCATGTTAGCAGAATACGTCATCAATAATGACATACTTTAACTTAAAACTCATTAAAAATTTCGCATTCATTCATACATTAAAATTATAACCTGTCACATGGCGCTCATGATGGTCAGAGTTCACAAAATCCATGAGCATTTCTTTAAAAACTATTTTATGTCAGCAGACTATGGCACTGATTCTAATGCAGCGAAGAGCTCCCAGAATAAATATTTATCCTAAAAGGCACATGTCAGGTAAAAAGCCATCGTAAATCATGGATGGGTAAACAACTTTTTAAAATACTTTTAAATAAAATGTAAAAGTCTGAGAGAGGTAGGCTCCTGGATGCCCTTGGATTTGCTGTTGTGTCATTTTTCAGTCTCTCGCTCCGTCTCTCTCGTTTTTTTTAATAAACCAGGCATCATTCACGTAAAGCATCACCATCGATTTCGCAAAGACGAATCCCCTGAGCCAAAGTGCCTGTTTTTCAAGTGGCGCTTGACCTCCTCCAGCTCGTTCGGCCCGAGGCTCTGGTCGACCCCCGGTGTGAGCTTGTAGCTCAGGGGGGAGATAATGTAACCGTTGCGGTAAAGGCAGACCTGCTTGCACATCTCAAAGCAGGTGAAAAGAAGGCCAAAGCAGGGAACAATCTGTAGGGGAGTGACAAAAGACAACTGCATTTTAAAGTCACGCCAACACTTTATTATTTTGATCACAGATCGACAGAGAACTTGTGCTCGGTGTGCACTTTATTTTCATTAAAACGGTCACAAGTAAAAACAGTTTTGGGCTATGAAGGGATCTGTAGCTTTAAGAGCGGAGCGTGCTGTTCCACCTTGGTAGTGAAATTCCTGCTGTGAACTACGCACACTAAACATTACTATTATTAAACATGTAAATGCTCTTATTTATATAACAGAAGATCAAACAGACCCGTATTTTGGCCATATAACAAGAAATTGCTACCAATGTATAAGTGAATCATACCTTTATTGTGTTGGCAGTAAGGCCGTTCCACAGTGAAAGGACGCCGTTGTGTTTAATCACCTGTATGAAACAGTCGATCATTCCAGTGAAATGGACGTCAACTCCTCCAAAATGGGGAAGACGGGCGCTTTGTGCCTGTTAAAAAGAATGAAAGCCAAAATAGGAAATGGTGAATCAGAGTTTGAAGGTGCTTATTAACTCAGAACCGGGAAGGTCAGAGGACATAATATTGTGACACTATGTGTTTGATTTTATTCAGCTGTCATTTATCAGTAAATGCAAAAGGACAGTCACAGGACCAATCAAATATCTTCATATTGTTGGAGGGGCCACCAAAGTAGTGCCAAAGATTCAGAGAGTAACTATCAGAAGTAGACTATTGTGTTTCATGGATAAAGCACGAGACCAATAGGACTATTCAAACAGCTTTATCTGTAGAGGACACTTAAAGCTAGCCAAGCTAGCCAGCAAGTTAAACTATACACGTCTTAAATCATTACCCCAAGCCTCAGCAAACATCATCAGCTTTTTCCCCCCATTAATGTTTAACTCTGAGCTTTTTAATGACAGACACTACAGCTGAATAGCTAAATGAAGCCTTTACGCAGGACTGTTCTTTAAAGTAAGTGACGTCGGTGCGATGCTTCAGCAGACTGGAAACACACGCCGGCTGTCTGATAGTTGCTGGCTATCTTTAGAGAACATATCTATAGCTTCTGCAGAGCTGGGACACATTCACATTCCCAGCTGCTGTTGAACCTTGTTCTGCTGAACCCATCTAATAATAGGCAGATAAAACCGGATGTAGAATCCTGTCCTTTGCCACACCATTGTTCCCAATGTGTCCTTTGCAGCGTATAGACACCCTTATTTAAAAGCAACATGGTGCAGACCAACAACTCCTGTGATTATAATAGTTTAAAACACATGCAGTAAATATCTCTTCTCTTTATATTTAGGTAAATCACCACTGAAGTAATTCTGATGTTAACTTTCCATACTCAAAATCATTGAGTGGCTGAGTAAGGTCAGCCTGTACTTAGGCAAACCTCTACTGCCCTCTTATGGACTAAATATGGTACTACAGCCAGCATGTAGGAGCATCTACACTGTAAATGTGTTGTGTTTACAATCATTTCCCAATTAGTCAGCAGCTGAGAGATCTGAAGAAGAAATATGAACTTAATTAAAAAGACCAACACAGTATTTCCAGCATCGGTATGCAGCTGTAACACTTCCATTTAACGCCTTTAAAAAAATATCTATGGTGTATCTATCTTTATGTTTCTATTTTAATTACTTCCAGCTTGAAAAAACAAAAAATAGTCCTGTTTCAGTTCTCCAAACATACCCCACAAGCAGAAAAGGTGTTCTGCAAACTTACTTGCATTTTCCGCTTTACAGTTTCAAAAGGGTACGAGAGGGTTTGAGCCACTCCTGCTGCCAAACAGCCGTTTATTAAGTTCTGCAGGGGAGTGAAGCGAACAGGAGGCTCCTGCCACAGCTTGTCCAAGTTCATGTAAACTGCATAACATCCGACAGAAAAGGGAACTGCACCTGTAAGGACATGAAACTTAAGGTAAAGGTGGATTTTCGTGACGTGAGATTCATATGCAAAATCTTACACGATCCACTAAAAACGAATTCGTTTGTAGCAACGTGTATACGAACCCAAGACAGTGAGGGAAAATCCCCTGTAGAGGGCGAGCAGCCCCTCGTTCTTGTAGATCTTTGACAATGAGTGAGCCACGCCGATGTATGTGGGCTGCCTGCAGTTTTGAATGATCAGCCTGGTTTCTGCCACCTCCAGCGGGTACGTGGCCAGAGCAGCAACAACACCGGCCAGTCCACCAGCAAATATGGCTCTCCACTGAGAGATGAAGCCCAGTTCATCCATGTGAAGGTGGACTATCCTGCACACAGAGGAAAGAAAGAAATCTATGAGAAATAAAACGCAGATGTCCCTGTAAGACAGTTTGTCTTGTAGACAGTCCAACACAATACATACACATGTATAAATAGATAGCTATATATAAAAAGACAAGATCCAAGTGGTTGTTCACTACATCTAAGGCCACCCTGTTTGTTTATGTGTCGTGTTAGTATTTAAAATACACATGAAAATGACATTAAGTGTATTCAGAGCCGTCAGACAAGCTCTGCTGCTTTGAAATATTTTTTTTCGGACATCTACTGCACCTATTTTTATTTCAGAGCACTTCTTGGAAGCCTCCAACACAGAAGCACGTGAATAACTGAATCCACGTGTGTGTATTTGTGGGTGTCACAGACATATAGGAAAAGGCCTGCATTTCCTGGAACTGTGTGTACAGGACACCAGGTTGTGGTGCGCACACGCGCATAAGAAACAAAATGAAACGAAACAAAAACACCTCATCGGGAAACATAATGACTAATACAGATAGTAGGCAGTAGATTTGATATTCTTTGCGGGATTACGGTTGTCAAGCCGGCTGCTTACTGCCTGTGTTTTGTCCTGAAGTTACCCAGCAGTGAATCGGCTACATGCCCTCATTTTTGCCTCATAGGCATTATTTCCTCTCACTGGGAGAGACCACAGGACTCGCAGACCCAAACCAAAGTTCATCCAACTGCTTATATTTCTACGTATCAGAGCTGCAACATATAACAAACCCTAACAAAGCGGAGCTGGGAAATTTGGGACAAATCTCAAATATTGTGGATGTGGTTTTATTAATAATTTGAGCAATTTGTCAAGCAAAAACAACTATTTCAACAGTTTAACCTAATAAATTTGAAGGATTCTTGAGTCTACTGAAAAAAAAAAAATGAGACGGCTTAAAGGTTTGACTGAATTTGAAGTGACCATGTCTTCAATTGCCATCCATAAGTCAAAATTGGACATTTCGACCTACTCAGTAATAAACGCAATTTCGATAGTAAGTCGAAATTATGAGAAAATAAACGTTAGTTCTACCATTTTCTACCAGTTTCGGGAATATATAACATTTTGCGCCTCA